ATATATGATGAAAAAAAATGAACAAAAATAAAAAGTGACCAACTATCATTCAATATCCATCACGAACACACTGAAATAAGATGGCAGCGATTTTAAATATCTTGTAACAGCACCAAAACTCATAATTTAAAATATCTCAACTGTTCTGAATTATCATTGATCCAATATACTGACACAGCTGAATGAGTTTATACATACACACCCCTCCTCCCTAAAAGTCTTAGCTGACACCTCTGTTGTGTCTTACTATATATTGAGTATAAAATTTACATTTCAGAAACATAATCAGTTATTTGGAGTATGTGACAACAATGGTCCAAACATTATAGACATAAATCTGTCAGAATCTGTTCTAAATAAAGTACAGCTTCTAATTATACTCAGTATACTTGAGGAATTCAATTAAAATAATCTTATTATTTACAAATTATTTGCCAGCATGTAGCTCATTCATAAATTATACTCACAACTCAGCCACACTATTAATTGCACATATTTAAACTTAACAAATAACTGCCTTACTTTCTTACACTGTCCAACTTTTATACAAATAACAGCTTAACTTTCATACAAATAACTCCCTAACTATTAAATAGTTAAATGCAAAACTTTCATACAAATAACTTCCTAAACTTTCATACCACTTAATGCCTGATATTCATACCAATTATTGCCTAATTTGCATATAACTTATTGCCTAACTCTCATACCACTTATTGCCTAACTCCCACACCACTTATTGCCTAACTCTCATACCACTTATGTCTAACTTTCATACCACTCATTGCCCAACTTTCATACTACTCATTGCCTAACTTTCATACTACTTATTGCCTAACTTGCATACTACTTATTGCCTAACTATATATATAACATTGTTCACAAAAAAAGGTAGCAATGCTACATGTCTTCAATGTAACTTTCTATCCCAGCATAAATAAATAAAGTGGAAAAAAATGAATACACAGTACCTAGATTATTGTAACTAACTGAAATTGATGAAATGCTTAACAAATAATGGGTCAGTTCATTCAAATATAGGGTCCAAGTGACCTTTCATAACGGTGGGGGTCCCTTCACATATTTTAAGACAGGCTCCCATGAAAGACTACTGAACAGCAGTCGCTCTGTCAAGGAAACACTACACTCACCTTCCAAATTTTCAATAACTGCTGGTAAAATCAAAACAACAAATACAAACAACATCAAGAAGAAGTATATAGGAATGGTAAATTTCAAAACACGATGAAAAAATGAAGAAGTTGCATTTGCAGACTGAGATTCAACGACATTTGTTGCATTGGCAGACCAGGATTCAACCACATTTCCAGCTTTGTTGGAGTTGTGCTCAGCATACCCAATAGGAAGTAGACATAGATCAGTCTGCTGTGCTTTATTCTCCTGACTGGGAGAGAGAGGTGGTGAAATCAACGTGCTATCCACCATATCTGTAACCACACTCAGACTTTCAGATCTTATTCCAGAACTCAGCATTGTTAACTCACAGCGGACAATCGATTCTTCAGCGCACAAAGATTCTCCACAGTTTTGAGAAACTAATCTCCTGTTACCATGGTGATATAAATAATCTGGAATGGACCTCATAACACTGTTCTCAGAATGATTCCCAATTAGTCTATCTGGAATAAGGCCAGAGCCTTTGACGTGTTCCTCCATGGGTGTTGACGTGTGTAAAGGACTGCAGTCATAGCTCTGAAAAGATTAATGTCATAATTTAAAATACCATCTTTCACATTTAACACAATCAATAAAGTTCTGCTCTAGTCAGTGGGGAAACATGTGACTTTTAAAGTTCTGGGTTGACACATTTCTTGTTACATAGTATTGAGTATAAGACAGTTTTGAATGATGCAAACATCTCCCATGATGCAATGCACCATGTAACAAAATTACAAAATATATCACACATGTTCATAAAATGCCAAAAATTCAAATAAAACAGTTCCAATCTACAAGGTTTAGACTGTTATTTCAGGGGATAGCTTCGAGGCAACATTGTCAACATTAAAAATGCCAATAGATGAATAGCCATCAGTGAGTGCTAGTCACATAGCATGTGAATATACATTACCTTGGTACTCATAGAAAATCTACCACTATCCCGAAGTTCAATGTCCTCCATATCCATCTTAACATCATTTGTAACCATAGCAACTTTATCATTATCTTCCTCATCACCACTATCACTATTGGATAATTCCTGTTAATCAATATTAAAAATTTAAGAGGTTAATGAACATAATATGTAATATGTCCTAATATGATTTACCTTGAAATATCGCAACTATAAAAACAGTGCGTATCAATAAAAAATTGTAGAAAACCCATAAATAGCATATTTTCAGTAATAGATTTGCACAAAAATCAGAAATTATGAATTGTGAAGAAAAAAAACAACAGCTTGTGGAGAAATGGGAAATATAAATACCTCATCACTCAGTGACTTCAGTATTTTCTGCAAGGCATTGATTAAAGAATTCTCAGTCAGCGCATCATCATCATCATCTTCAATACCATCATCTTCACCTTTTATCAATCTTTCATCTTTCTCTATCAGATCATTTTCTAGATCACTAGCGTCAAACCATCCATCATCACATTCGTTATCATCATCATTCTGGTTTTCTTCCTTATCAGTATCACTGCCTTCATAACTAGCGCTTTCGTTAAAGTGAACTCTCTCTTCATCTTTATTCATCATCTCTCCAGAACTGTCCCCACTCTCACTAAATATCTCAATTGATAAATTTCCAATCCTGTGCTGGATTCTAAAATATTCATCTTCACTTTCTCTTCTTTGTAGATGTCCCCTGGGTGGCAGATAGTCCAGATAGGATGATCCAAGCATTGAATCTTCTCCAACACAGGAAACATCAGCCAGAAATCCGCTTTCACTAGACACTCGATCCTTGTTAATACTGCTTGCTACATGCTCTGATGGCAGCTTCCTATTCTCAGGAAGCTCAGCATGCAGACATTCTTCTGCAAGTTGTGAGATGTACCCGCAGACCTGTGGTGAGGCTCTGAAGTTGACTGAACCATCCAAATCTAACTCCTCAATACAGTCATCTTGTACCACTTCCTCAAGAGATGCTAATTCTTGTTGGCATGACAATGCAGGTTTGGTCTTCATCCTTTTCACGGTTGATGTAACACACGTGTTCAACTCTCCTTCGCTGCACTTCTTGGCCAGGTTTGACACATAGGAACAGAAATCACTCATACTTGTATTATGAACAGCATTGGCTAACGGTGATAATGCAGCCAAGCTATATTCAATAGAGCTATCCAAACAACTTAGATCCGAGTTAGCAGCCATCAAGGGTACATCTGGTGGTGAAGTATTTTCAGATATGTAACTGTTGCTTGACATACTGGACCATTCACTTGTTACAGGACTCTCTATTCTACAGATATTTTGATCATCTGTGACCACTGACTCAAGCACCACATTAGATGTTCTATCCATTCCATCCTGCTGTACATCATCTAGTTCTTTCTGAAGATCTTCATCCACCCTAGCAACAAGACACAATGACTCCCCACTACCATCACTGCTTTGATTCTCAATACTGTCAGTGATCAAAGATGAATCTCTGTTAATGACATAGGAATCATCTCCGGAAGTAATCAAGCTTAGCTCATCCTTCTCCATCAATTTACTCAAAAGTGTTCTTGGTAAGGTTAGTTGAGATGCTGTCACTTTGGGAGTTGACCATGGACTTACTGTTGGTGATGACGGTGTTTTAGGTGTCTTGGGAAACTCAATCTGACTGTTAACATGAGGAGAGATGTCACACTTCTTCACATTTGCTGGTGTAATAACAGAAGTCTTGGGCTCTTGTTGAGACAAAAGAAGAGGTGTTTCAGGAGTTGTGAGCAGAGGATATATATTTATTACATCACAGTCATCATCATCATCAACTGAATTTGTTGCTTTAGGAGTTGTTACAAAATGAGCAGACGGCAAATCTGGAGTTGCTGGAGTAGCTAACAAAGGATATATAGCCATTTTTTCTTCTTCATCCTCAGCATCATCCACAGCATCATCATCTAGAGATCTTTGGAATAAAGGAGATGTGGATTCAGAGTTCTGGGCAAAACTTACACCCTTGACTTTAAGACCCGGAAGCGGAATTCCAGTGGGCTTTGTATTTTCACTTTCTGCTTCATTTGGAATTAAAGATGGAAAGAATCTAAATGATTTCATTTCTTCTACTCGTGGATTTTTCAAATCTTGCTCACAATCAATTAATGATGGAAACAATTTTCGTTTTCCCTTCTCTTTTATTTGACGGTTAGGGCCTATCTCATCAAATAAAGATGTTGCATTTCTCTGTCTCCATGGAGCTGCATCTTCTTTGACTTTTATAGTTGCATCACCAAGGTTACAATTATCCTTAGGACCATTCTGTTGACATTCAATATCCAACATCTGCAATACGGACAACATTTTATCATTTTCACTGTCAAGATCTTTTAACACATATTGATCATAACTGTCATCATCTTCACCTTCACTGAGGTCAAGCTGGAAGATGTCATCATGGTGACCATATTTATGTGAGATAGCCTTGGCAAGAGGAGTTGTTTCTTCATCAGAACCATCAGTGCAAACTTCAAACGTATTACCATTGTTTTCTGCCATTTCATTGGCCAATGTTATACTCTCAATCCAGCTTTTTGGGCTACTATCCATGCTGCTGAAACCATTCTCACTTCGTGGACTGAAGGAACCAAATGATGAATTTCTTGAGACATCTAAATCTTTTGCACTACCTTCAGCAGTCATCAGAATTCTGCTCATACCACTACCCATTTTCCGATAAGAGGAACCACTCCAAACCAAACTATCGTCCAGTTTTACATCCAGTAGATCTAACTTACACTTGTCATCATTGAAATGTCTGTCTGGCATGAATGCTTCTAATGCTTCTTCAACTGCTTTGGTCAGTGCATCAACAGATTTGGGAAACTTTTCTTCAACCTCAATATGCTTTTTAGCCATTTTTGTCAACTGGGGTTTGATACTTTTAGATGACTGCTCTGGACTGCTGCCAAACTGAATCTTTCTTGGTATGGCTTTCGAGTGATAATGTAATCGTCCATCACTCTTCCTACTTCTGGGAGATTTACAACTATTTTCTTCCACCAGGATTAAATTGCCACCAACATTTTTAATTTCAGGATCTGCTATTATATTGGATGATCGTCGATGTCCCCGAGATCGTCTTTTCTTTCTTCCTTTTCTAACCTCTTTCTCATCAGAGTCTTCCTTTTTCTTACTCAACTTTTTTACCTTCTTTTGTCGTTTTGTGGCCAGCTCTCTAATTTTTTCCACTTTCTCTACATCTTCTTGGTTGATATCCTCCATCATAAAAATATCATCTTCCATCCCAAAGGATTCAAAAGACATATTTAAATCAAAGTTGTTCAGGTTCTCAAATTCCAGTTCGCTATCCGCTGAATCACTGTCATCCTGATCTTTCATCATGAGTACATCATCAAAGGTTAGTTCATCATCCACAGAAATGTCGGAGAGATCACTCATACTGAACGCATCATTCTCAGAGAAAGCCTTTCTGATTGGAATCAAATCTGTGTCCTCAGCCATCTCATACTGATCGTATTCGAAATCAATTAGACCATCTACCATTCTGCTTGAACCATACAAATAACTCATAACTGGATAGCTGGGTTCGCTATTCACTTGTCCATCAACTGTGGTGCTACCAGTGGCTGAGGCAGTGCTCACAGCATCAGTATTAGGAGTTGTAACAGTTCCCTACATAGTGAAGAGAAAAGTTGACATTATTACATGTACACTACTGTCAATGGAGCATTTATCATTTTAAATCACTGGTGAGCAGTAAAATCTGTTTTACAATTGTTCAATTGGGTGTGGTGTGTCATTACGAGGATACTGCAAAGTATGCACTCAAACAGTTCGCAGTTGCTTCAACCTCCACTGAGCGTTGGTCAATACTCTTGCTGTACTGTCTTTGTGCATACTTTGCAGTATCCTCGTAATAACCTCTTAAGGGGTTAGCATACGTTCGCTGGTTCAATTTTTTGGCCTCAATTTACAGATTGAAACATACATTTCACCAATACATGTTATATACCAAAATAAAGATCTTGTTTCAAACTTTGGAAATATGGCATTTTTTTAAATTATGCAAATACCAAGTCACGTGATCACAAGAATATGCGAAAATGGAGTAAAACGGTTAATGATGCAATTAATAATTAATTTGCAGCACGACTGAATATATTTTTTTATGTAAATATTATAGAGGAGTGCTTCAAGTACAATGTTTTTCGTTTTTTTGCAACTATAATTTTTTTTTATGTCGCCTTATTTCAAATGTTTGGACGTTGATACCTGAGTAAAAACAACATGTCTCTATATAAAAATAAGCAAAAAATCAAAACAAAGGCAGACAGAAAAAAATCCAGGAACATTCCTCCAGTACTCTATATAGCGGTAAAGTTGACCAAAAATGGCGACGATCTGACTTTTCGTTTGTTAGAAATTGCGTACTGAATCTGTAGAACTACGTAGAAATCAATTTCAAGATAAACGCAAAAAAACGTCCAACTAGGCCTAAAAATGTTGAAAAATATGAAGTTATAGTTATTGAAACATGTCTGCCTAGCGACCAGCTACTAAATAATGCCTTCTAATGTCGGGGCTAAACCGACAACGTGATGACTTCCCGCGAAAGTGACGTAGTGATTTGCATATTACTAATATGATGTGGAGGCGGAGTTATTCCAAATAAAGAAAATGGTTTAGGCCGTGTGCACAAAATATCTTCAAGTTTGATTTGATTACTGTTCACTGTAAAACTGATAGTGAGGTACGTCGTCGCAAGCGTGCAAACACGGTTTCTTTTTTATAAACCGTGGTGCGAACAAGAGCAATGACTTCGCCTTTTTCCGCTCGCTTTTGTGACCGCTTGTTGAATTCGACTGGACAATTTCCGCTTTATTTTCGATGGCGAAAATCCCGAAATATCTCCTCCCGCTCGCTCGCAGAAAATTTCCCGAGGTCCACATTGTCTTATAATTGTCTTACTGGTTTTTATAAATGTTGAACAGCCGACAAAAGATCGAATACTTTTCGTTTTAACTATCTATAATTATATGCACGCAATCTGACCCTTTGACTTCGATTTGGCTTGGATTGAATATTTTATTTTCAACAATATTCTGACGTGAAATACAAAATGCATTTCAACACAAGTACGACATGGTTGTCTGGGTTTTCTTTCCCGATTGTCGAGTCTTCGCAATGTGTTTACGGTTTGTATAATTATTGTTGTTTTCCTCAAGGCGAAGACAAGCTGAAGGACCATGAAGCTAAATGGCAGTTCCATGCATGGGCTGAGTGAAAGAAAATATTTAATCTAAGCCTAAAATAAAACCTAATATTACACCTCTTTGTGTATTTGTTAATTTTACATGTTTGTCATGACAGTATATCTAGAAAAATCTTCTCTTTCGTTGATAATTGCCATTGTTTGGAATGTCTGTTGACTGTGCCCCAATAATTTGTTCGGGAAATCGATTCCCGTTGGTTTATCCATACTGAGTTTAGGACGGGCGTCGGTCCCGACGTCCGACATTCATCACACTCAGCCGAGACAAAACATTGACCGTAATTCATGGGGATCATGTTCCGTAATTTGTGGGATGAAAACCCAAATAATTAAACAAGTATTATTATTATTATATACATTTCATTTTACATCGCGAAACTACAACAGAGCTTGGTTGTTCACGGTGAAACAGTCGCCTTGAAGTCGATACAACTTCAACAAGCCATTTATTACCTTGAAATAAAAAAAAAAAAATTCCAAGAGCATCGGGAAATATATTAATAACCATTTTTAGCAAACGCTAGATTTATTTTATCCGAATACATGGAATGCACGAGATTTTCAACATTTATTGGCAACTTCCGCTCTGAAAATGGTTGAAAATGTGGGTGTGGTTCTCTCGCAAATATGGTTCTGTGACCCAGGTCGTGCTCCGATCAGGTGACTTTCAGCAAATCAATGATGTTGTAACAACGCATATTTGACGCTAATTGAAGGGTCGTCGTACCGTCCAATCTCCGGCTTCGATTCACATAGTTTTTTTTTTGTTCCGTGACAGGCTTCAAAATTATTCACTGAAAAACATTGGTATATTTTGACTAACGGAGGGGATTTGACCTCAGTTCAGAAAGAAGAAAAATTAAGCTGAGTTCACGGCGAATCAGTTTTCTTTGTTAGTTGTGAAATAAGGTAACCCAGAGTAGGGTCGAAGATTTTCAGCCCTGAGGGACTTCCGTGTGAATCCTGATTTTCGAATTGTTCATCGTCTGGCCACCAAATATTTATGGCTATAACTACAGTGCTATAACTAAATTTGACATGTTTTTTTTCTGAATTATTCATTTATGTCAAGCTCTGTTTTTTCAGAGCATGTGGCCGTTTTAGTCAAAATATTTTTTTGTGGGAACACTTTTACGGTACGTATAGATCGAACTCATTCACTGATCGTGATTTAATTTTGAAAATTGAATGCCAAATTATACCAGACCGACCACCTGTGGACCGACGTGGTTTTGGTATCGTTATTTTTGGAAATAATCATTAACATTTTCCTTGTTCCTCTGCTCTGTCGAAAGAAGTTACCTATGCCCTTTTCACGTAACTGTCTCATTAAAATAATTTAAAATATTACATTTACTGATTTAGAACAAGCACCTAAAACACGTAACAAGAGGTCCCAGTTAAGTTGCTTTGACGATTGGTTGTCATGCAACTATTAAATTTGAAAAACCACCATTTCGACTACTCATGTGTGATCAGTGTTTTGGCGAGCAGTCAATGTTTTCAATGAGCGAGCGAGCGAAAAAAGAGAGATTAAAATGCTGTCGGTTTCCAGTCGGACAAGACCGCGCGGTCGGAAATCAAGCAATAAGCTGTGGGTGTAAAAGCGGAAGGCTGGGCGAAATGAGTACCGTAATTACGTAAACTTTGTAGTATTGATATGCAAATCGGATCTTTCATCAAGTGTCAATTAGGATTACTTTCATGCGAGTGTTGTGCTTGTGTTGGTGGTGTTTGTGGCAATGTTTTGAAATAGAAAAAAACGTCGAAATAAGCATTATAAAATGGAGTTTTTGTTTAGAATAAAAGCACAGTCATAGATACTATCATAACCATCAATAATTTATACTAAAAAAAAAAATTGACAAAAAACACATTAAACATATGCTAACCCCTTAATATATAATATGAAGTAGTCTCCCAGGCCAAAATAGCCCAGAGGGCTCCTGCTTTATTATTTAACTCCATGGCAATATCATTACCACCTCTGCACTACTCCTAAATTTAAATAAAATTTATTATGATAATTATCCTGCAAATGATATGCTAATGTATATGCAGATTAGGTACAGTTCTTCCATTTTTTATGGGAAGAACCCTGAGTATGAGTACCCTTACCTTATATGTGTGTAGTTTGTCCTCCAACTTAGACTGCAGGTCAATAGCTTGTAATAAAATAGATTGCCATCTTCTTTCTAGATTTATTGCTGATAATTGCAATGATTTTCTATCCTTGTCACAAGTACATGCCCTTGGATCATCTTGTAAGATATCACACAATGTCAACACAGCCGTTACTCCACGTGCATGTTTCTCAATATCCGTCTGTAAGACCTGTAATGTCAAAAACAGACGTACCTTACAATTTGGGATGAAAATGTGCTTCATATAAGGATCTAATATAAAAACCATTAGTTATCAAATTTAAGATATATAGTTGTTATAGTTGGAACATAAACATGTCAGAGATATCAAGAAGCTGATGCTTGATTATAATGATTTTTTAACATTAAAAAAACTGACATTCAGTCATCTTGTATCTGATTATCGAATAAGTACTTGTCCATATTGAGAACAGCATTAATTGAAAACAACATGGCTACCGGTCGGCCATTTTATAACAGATCGTCAATCCAATAAATCTGTATATCTATGACATGATGTATAATGCATATATAAAATTTTAACATAATCAGTCAAAGCATATCAGAGATATGGCTTTAGAACAACATACATCAAAACAAAATGGCCACCAGTCAGCCATTTTGAATACGATCTGAAAAACAAAATCAAGGTTTCATATCTGAACAGGGACTAAATAGCCATTCATGTCAATGCAGCTTGTGTAGTGATTGAAGCAAAAAACATTTAAATGAAGAAATGCAGAATTTCCTCCAATTTTTACAATGTTTAACAGAATCTACAATTTCACTTAAATCTTTTATTCAATAAAAGGTGTTCTCAGTAGTGTTTTCAGCAATATGTTACATAAAGCATATGCCCTTCTATTTTATATTCACCCTCCTCACCAATTATAATATTTTACATACCATGTGCTCTTCCATCTTCTTCTCAACCTCTTTCTCATCTGTAGAATTCAAACACTTGCTATAGCTACCAGTGAAAAGATTGCACTCAACTTCATTCAACCAGACCCTCAATCTCACCAGAATTTCATCCAATTCAGTCAACATACTAGATGGACTACCAGAATGGGAGTCAGTAACAACATGTTCCTTCAGATACTCCCACTTATTGTTGATATCCGACAGTTTGGATGTGATTTCAGACGTCAGATTGGGGTAGGCCGACAAAAGATGATGACCCTTGAAGTTTAACGACTTCTTCATTGTCTCCATCTCATCCATTTCTTGTTTGTATTCCTGAAGAAAAAATAAACAAATTAAACAAATTAATTAATTACTGCTGTAAAGTCTATATTTCCATATACAGTACAATTTCACATGCACTATAGTTCTTTCTCGGTTTTAAAAAGTGAAGCAAAATAATTAGTGCTGAATGACTGTTAGTTCTACATAAATGTGCACAGTAGTTTATATGTAAACTAGTTGAGGAATTAACTTATAGTCTGTATCTTTCGATCTGCCTAATCAAGTTTCATTTGGCAAATGTATTATGAAAATAAAGCCTAAAGCACTAGCTACATTGTAGGTCAATGCCACTTACATTACAAATCTCTGCAAACTGCGTGTTATTAACAATGACTTCAGCGTCCTTATCAGTGATGACGAGCTGCATTTCATTCAACCAATCAAATAGCTCATGATACTCAGTTACAAAATCATGCATATCATTCTTGTCCTCGTCATTGGTTACCTCATCACTGTTGTTGCTACTGCTACTGTTGTTATGGCAACTGATCTCCGAGACATTCAGGAGAACATCCAAACTGAAATTAAAAAATATCCAATTTATTCAAAATACACATGTTCTTAGATGATTCACGATTTCAGACAAACCATAGTTATATTTTTCACAGACTTATAACTGTATAATCCATGGTTTTGCCTAGCAATAAAACAAGCATAGAACTTCAAAGAATACTTTGAAATTTCAAACACTAAATACTGGATGGAAAATAGCTGCATAAATTCATATGTTTTACATCCTAAAAAGAGATCTTCAAATATCGCATAACAGAGACACTATACATTATGAGATCACTAACAGCTTAGTGTCTTAAGAAGCATAGTGAAGTGTCCCACCTTGATCCATTACTAAAACTCTCCATCTGTTTGTTGAGTGCTGTAATATGGCTTTCCATTGGTGAGTTCTTTTTCTTTTTGCTGTGTAGCTTGAATGTCAGCTCATCAACCGTATCTCTGGTTTGCTCCATGGAGAGTGGACTGTGCACCTGGACAAGGAAAGAAATTCATCATATTAAATTCTTGGATTACTGCCATGAATTAAATGAACAACATAAGATATGCAATGTAACAAAGTGAGTTGCTAACACACACACACACACTTCTAAAACTTAGCCAAGTGAATGGTTGGCACTATTAATGAACTTAGTCATAATTGAATGAATTAGAGTGTCTATAATCTGACAGGCTGGTAATTATGATCCTGAATTTCAATTCAACTCTGTGCCAGATGCACTGCACAAGAGCAAGCATTAACAACAACTTTGCAAAGCTAACTGACATAAAAAATGTGATGTATACTTACTCTAGCATATTCAATGTTAGCAATAGCTGATTCCAGTGCTTTCAATGCATTTTCTATTTGCTGATATTGCACATTAATCTGACCCTGTAACGTTTCCCATTGTTTTTCAATGACAGATAACTTCTCATTTAAGGACTTGCTACACTGTGGTAACGAGACAATAAAGCCACGTCCATCGGCCACAACACTGTCCTTCAATGTCTGGTGGGTCTCTATCTCAATTGCAAATGCCTGCCAAAACAAAATAAAGAAATACATACATCAGACTCAATTACTATGTATGAATCAGGGTTCTTACATCTCAGAAAAAAAACTAACCCCATATTGATAAGATTCCATGCCATTTTAGTTGTAATTTATAAGTCAGTGCAAAAGGAATGATCATTCAAGTTTAAACTGAATCGATGACATCATTTTTCACAGAATTAATGGAATCTCCTTAGAGAAAGTCAATCTGAGCGCATGTTAGAAAACCGAACAATACCCTGAAGTCTGCTGCTGGGGAAATGAATATCAACAAATTACAAAGAGTAAAACGACAGTAAGAAAAGATTGTAAAAAAAATTGTTTTAATTTAAGAAAAGGTAAAATTCCATACTTTCCCATACTCAATGTATAGGCTAAATTTAAAGACTTTTCAAGAAATTCAAGACTGCATATACATGTACACATGCACAAACAAAAACAAAAAAAGCTTAATGCTTTGTTTTTATTTTCCATTTTCAGGGCACACATGAACTGAATTATGCTGGTCAATTTGTTTTATGATCACACATATTATATTGGCAATTTTTTTACATTTTGTTTTCCAATTTGATATCAGAAATACACAAAGATTGTTCTGATATTTCAGACATAGAAGACAGTAGTAACAGGAACTGTGTCATCGACATGTATGACTGAGTTTTGGTATGTTTTATAGAATAGCAGTCGCACATTATTGTGATTAAATCAAGCATACACTGCAGATAAAACCTAGTGAGTTTGGCCATATCAAAACTAGGTTGGGATACCAATGAGTATGCACTCCATGGAAACACCTTTCAGACCGTGCTACTAAAGAAACAATAAAACTCCTAAGACACCCACAGACAGCAAGTAGCAAACTATATACAGCTTTGAAACATGTAAGAATGAACATACATTCTCTCACACAACTGCCAAGCAACTAAGAACGTTGAGAAGCTCTCTGCTACACTGACTCTATTGTTCTGGGTTTGTTTATCCTTACAGGCGCTAAAGAACAAAATCAATATTGAACGCAAATCACTCTTTCGCTTGCACTCCTAAGGTGTGCCATAGACTAGGTTACAAGCACAACACTGTGTGATTATTAATAGCTACCATTTATTGAATAGTCGCTTGCAAGTCGTAAGTCATCTGAGTGATATACAACATGGGAAAAAGGTAGCGACTGTGTTGTAAAATATTATTCCTTATTTACCACACAGTCCCTCTGAGAGGGACTGTGTTTACCAGTAGTACATGTAGGTATATCCAGCTGTCATCAAAAAACAAATATCCACTAAATTTTATATTTGCTCTATCAGTAACTTTCAATACATAAATAATAGAGGTTTGTATTGTCTAAATAAGTCAGACTTTTTTATCTGGGGTTTATGTTCACTTCTACAGTGAAATGTGCTTCCAATATTGAGATAAGCTAACAGCCAGATGCTCTGCAGAGATAAATTTTAAAATATTGGGAAAAGTTGATTGAAAAGAACATGACATAAACAGGATACCAATCCATTGAAGTGTGATCGCTGTTTGTCGTTATCACTCCATGGGGAGGGAGAATGCTTGACATAAGAGCCAATAAATGATGTCATATTTTACTCAACTTAAGAATGGTTCTCGTAAGTACAATTTTTACTTTGTTGCCGACTACGTAAATCTAGGTGATGCGTGACAAGAATGACAACTATGCTAGTATTTGCTAAAATTACAGTGACCCGCATGACATTCGAAGGTGATAAATATATACACACTACAAAATGTGCTGTGTTCACATGAAATAAATCACACCAACAAATAAATAACAACAGTGGTGTACACTGTGCTAGATGTGAATTGGCTTCTATATTATAGAGTATGGTCCAAACATAACTTAACATTCAGACTTTCTTTCAAGACAACACAAGCAAACAGAATAAAATGTCACAAATTGGTATAAATTAATTTGAGAAATGTAATTAATTTACCAGGTGTCTTTCCAGGTGTACTCGAAGGCTATTGACATCACCTTTGGGTTGTCGCCAACCGTCAGCTTGCTGTGATATATCAGTTAACCATTGACTCAAGCGATCTACATCATTGGCAAAGTTCTGAAACAAAACAAGTCAATTTGACGTGAGAATTGAGCAGAAAATGGGTCTTGAAACGGGACGCATGAATGAACAAAAAGAAGCAGAAACTGTTCTTTGATGACCATCATTGACTTGACACGTGCCTTACACGTTCCAATTAAATGAAAATCCAAGAAATTGGCACCTATGAATCAAACCTAAAAACCTATTACATTGCTATAAAGCCAAAGAATGGTAAGTTTTGTAACTTTCAGCTTCATGCCTTACATGTATATCTGAAAATTAACTCCATGAAAATGTCTTAACTCATCTCCTGATAACAGAAGTGTCAGAAGGTAATGTGAAGGAAAAATACCCAGAATTTATTCATTTTGCCAAATTGTTGTATTTTTCCATTTTTTATCCTATCTAAGGAACGCACTATGTTCTTCGCCTCTCAATCTTACAACAGGATCTTTTAAACTTAACTTGATTACAAAAGTGTGTTATAATATGTATTCTATTGTATTTTCATCATGTAAATCCCTCTTTATTAAAAGTACTACTGTTTTCCTCTGATTCAATTAATTTTCTCTGATAGAAACTTCCCTATTGCAAACTTGCGCTTCAGAACAGATTGCATAGCAACACAGCTATTCAAAAAAAGAAAACTTCCTGAACCTTGATAATTATATTTTAATTAGATTTCTTTTTATAAGAACATACGTCAAAGCTGCTTGCGGGCATGGGACGGTGTGTCATCAAAGCTGCTTGCGGGCATGGGACGGTGTGTCATCAAAGCTGCCTTTATCACAGGACGGCACGTTATAAGACATTCTAAATGAATGTAATTCAGTCAAGACCATTGTACTGCTAAATGCCTTTCAACTTAACACAGAATGGTGCCACACCGATTATATATCATCTACTATGGCTGCATAGTGATACAGACTGACCTCAATAATTAAACAGTGTGAAATGAGTTGAAATGGACACGAAACTCAGTGAACACTGGGACAAATACTGTTAAAACACATTACAACATTGGTAGATGCGTGTCTGGCTCAAAGTAATGAAACACACCTGTGTATGCAAATTAGGTAATATTCATCACAGATCAATGTTACATGAGTGAGTTTAAAATATTACATAAATCATCACTAGGAGAACAGACAGTAATTATGTGGGAAATGAATTCACATCAATGTGTTCTGTGTTATGTTTTAAAGTCATCTTTTTGATAACAATGACCTGATTATCAAACCCAATTGTACTGCAGAACAAATATTTCTAGGATTATATAATGATACACAGATATCCTATTAATAAAAAGAAAAGACACATTACTATTTTTCCGTAAAAGTAATTGCATTACAGAGTCCCTGTCAATAGATTTAAAAAAATGTACAAAGTCAAAACATGAAGGGTCAATGCACATCAGGGGGATGGCTCAAGAACCACATTCACTTAAACAAAATGGCCACCAGTTGGCCATTTTGAATTCGGTCATGGTCAAATTTCCATGTCTGATGTTTGAACCAAGATTGAATGAAATCCGTACATACATAACCAAGATCCAGTTATAAAATGGCAGAAACCACTCTGCCATCTTGAATCAGATTGCAAAACAAATAACCATGCAAATATATCTGAAGATGAATGATGTACAACTATATGTGTAAAGCTTGAATATAATCAGACCAGACATGCCCATCTTGGATTCCATAAATGCACACAGGTTAGAATATAATCAGACCAGACATGCCCATCTTGGATTCCATAAATGCACACAGGTTAGAATATAATCAGACCAGACATGTCCATCTTGGATTCCATAAATGCACACAGGTTAGAATAT